GGCCGGAGGTGCGTGTGAAGGCACATACGTAGATATATATAGATATACATATGCATATGCACATCCGGCCGCGTTGAAGGGATCGCTCCGGTTATCCGCTCCGAAAGGGAACAAGACGAAGAGGACGAGATGGTTGCGGCCAGTTCGGCCACCGTCTCCATCCCAACGCTCTCTTTCCCCTTCCCGTGTACATCCACAAACTCATTGTTTTTCCTTCCCGATTGAATAAACAAAAGTCATTGTTGAGTAAGCCAAACAAAGACCAATTTCTAGCTATACCAGCCAGCTGGTACAAAACGATCAGACCAACCAAACGCAGACGGATCCATGGCCTGAGACGTGCATGACAGCAACAAACCACTAGCTCTAGCTAGCACCACCGCACACACAAGCTAGCCGGATCGAACAAGAACAACCACCCCCAACCCAACGCCAAGGATAATGAACGAACGTACGTCTCGGCGGAAGAGAGAATCGCCCGCTCGCACGTCCAAGGACAAGGAGGGCCGGCCGGGGCCCGACCCGTATGGAAGGAGGCGCATCACATGCCACGCCACGCCCCCGTCGGTTGCCTGCCCCCGTCCATGACCTCTTCGCCCGAAACAGTTGCCAGGCCATCAAGGAAAGAGGAGGTGCGCCTGGCCATGGCATCGGCATCCACACCTTTCGCCTTTCCTTTCCCCGCACTTAATGTTGTATTGGGGCGTGAGGAGAGACTTTGAGCCTTGGACCTCACCTCGCATGGAGCCGGGCAGAGGATGGCCCTCCACTCTCCATCGTCACCGCGAAGCTGCCTCCTCCCTCCCGCGCGGCCAGACCGCATGCTGCTAACCATGCCCGATTTCATTTGACCCGACTTGTTAACAATCTAGACACGCATCGTTATCAGGCAGTAGTACTTGTACGCACTGCGCGTTCTTGTGCAGTGTACACGCGGCGACGCAGGTCTTGACCTCTACGCATGCATGGATACAACATACAAGCACTCCTCCCCCTGGTGCATTGGTTTGGTGCGATTGATTGACGATTCAGACACGGCGGATTTGACCGAACCCACGCATGCGTGCCGTACTATTTCCAGTCGATCGATCGTTCCATCAGCACGACGCGCTGCAGACAACAACTAGAGTAGAGGTTTTGGTGGCGATCCGTTGCCGTGTGTTGCCAGATGGTGCCCTCTACCCCTAGAGACGGTAAAGTAGGCAGGGAGGATTAACTAGCCTTCTCTGTCATGCTTGATTAGTTTACATGTATGCACAAGTAAACTTGCTTCAGAGAACCAAGCGAACTTATTAAAGGTTGCGAGATTGAAGGGCGGGCAAGCAAATTGGCGCGGAGGTTGCCCGCCTGTCTGCAAGCAAGCAAGGAAGGAAGCTAGATGCAGCGATGCATCAAGTAGTGACAGCCACCTCTTTCTCGGGAACAAAGATGGCAGCATTTGATTCTTTCTACCCGGCCAGCTCCCCCTCTTTTGCATCTTTCGGTCTCAACAAATATTCTAGAGCCTAGCGTTTTTCCTTTCCTCTTCCCTTGCTACAATCGCCGTGCCCCCGTCTGTGTAAAGACGAAAGCAGAGGGAAGGGCCGGGTTCGTCCTTGTTGGTCCTGGTGATGTTTACCAAATCTCAATCGCCTTACACCTAAGTTGGCAGCATACTAGTCAATCAAACCTGCCTGCATCTAACTTTGGGTCCTACGCACGCTAACGCTTGCCAGTACTGCTACCTCTAATCTACTTGGCAGTTAAGGTATGCATGTATGTGTTGCTGCTGCGACGAATAACCGATGGGAAAGCAACGATTTGTTCTTATACTCAAGAGAGAGATAGAGAGAGAGAGAAATTATAAGGAAAAGGAAAGCAACAATAATGTCTGCGGCAGGCATGCGTGCCTGTTACTAATCTCCAGTTCAAGCACGACATCCCACTGGCGACCCTTGGAAATCTCCCAAAGAAGCTATCAACTCACTTTGGTATTATCCGATTAGAATACTAAGCCAAGACCGAACCATAACCCGCAGAATTATTGGCGGTGACAAAACATGGAAGGAAGTGTAGCTCAACAAATGTCCTGCTCCCGGGCGCGCGCTTGTCAAATGCTCTGGTTAAACCAAGGAGGAGGTAAATTCTACTACATCATTTTCTCTGTCAGTTTGTCATTTTTCACCAGGGAATCCCACGATCCAAACCAAAGCATTTGGCAACGACTCAAAAGTACAGTAGATTGGACGCATGCCTCGGTCTCTCCCCCTACTCGTTTCCGTTCCAACTTTTAAATTTTTCTCCGAGACAATGAAAGTCATGAAAATGAAAGATGGTTTCGTCAAAGAAATGCCTCCAATAAAACCAAGCAACGCCTGTACCGCTCTAGAACAAGGCACCAGTTTTCTCTCACTTTCTTTTCCTCCTTATCAACAACACGTACCTGAAAATGAGGCGACACTGAAGATTCAACGGCTGATTGCTGCCCTGTATTTGTGCACGCTATCCGCCAGGGAGAAGGAACACGAACGAACGCCGGGTTGCTTGGTTCTCAGTTTACACTAGAAGTTCTCCGCTGGACATATACCTAACAGCTGTGAAGGCAAGAATTCTGGATGTTGCATGTTTATTTCATTCGTTCCAAATATACTACGCATTTCCGCGAACATCGAATAGTTTGATGGCCTGAAAATGGCTGGGGGTTCCTTGTCGCATGGTATTGGTTGAGACACTCGTACTATTAATTCAGCCATGACACACTAAATACCATAAACAACACTGGCTGAAAATTTAAAGTTTGAACACCTTTAGCAGGTTGGAAATTTCTGGCTAGTAGTTCCACTTTTCTTGATTTGATCGTTTATGGTATGTTACTTTACCACCAAATATAAATAATTGGTCCATGTATATGTTCTGAACAATTAGATACGGACTGCATATTCTAGATCACTTTTTTTTACATCATCAACCCTACACCCTAGTCCTTCTACATAAGCCATGACATATCACCTACGTTGGTTCCTAACACGAAATATTTAAAACATGCGTTTCTCGCATGTTCTACCTACACTCACGGTTTTCTCTCTCACACAAATTTAGTTGTCGCATCCAGAACTTTATCTCGCACACTTGCTCTTAACCATCCACCTTTTCTTCATGTCTCGTGTAGCTGCCCACGTCTAAGTCACAGTTCAACAAGAAAAAGACACTGCATCAAAGCGCAAGAAAAGATGCATTTCACGAAAGAAGCCGCATTTGGTGCCATAATTTTCACAAGTGGCGGAGAAAAGCATCGTAGGATTGTTGGCTTTGCTCCAAAAGCAGTTCTCAACCAAGAAAAAAAAGGCAGAATTGAAGCCACGACGCATATACATGTGAGTACATCATGTCATCAGAAAATTTATAATGGTCCAAAATTATACTCCCTCCGTCCCGAAATACTTGCCGGAGAAATGGATAAAATTGGATGTATCTATAACTAAAATACGTTTAGATTCATCCTTTTTTGACAAGTATTTCTGGACGGAGGGAGTACTTGTGTATTATACAGAATTAGTTTTTGTTGGAGCCTCTTCTCAAAGACAAATAACCGATTCATATTCTTGTGTAGTAGGATGGATCGCATACAACCATTGAGTAGCCCTTCATTTGTAACACACGAGCTAATATTCACATTCGATTATTGTCTAAAAAGGATTGCCTTTTATATTTTGTATATTGCATTCCCCCCAAAAAAAAGACTTTGTATATTGCAGCTTGAAGCTAGGATCTAAACCATTGATATGTGGACAAAGTTTGTGATCCCTCCATCTAGAAATATAAGGCACAATACTATTTTGAGATTTACTTCAACCATCACTTTTTTTTGCGAATTTACTTTAACAGTTTTGCTAAAGCACATCTAGATGTGTTCTAAGTATTGCACATCTAAATTCGATGTCATTGATTTTACGCTAAGATTCGTGCAAGTTTTTTTATTATTCTTTTTACTTCTCAGTTTATAGGGCGTGCACGTACCCCTATGTCGTCAATTTGACCAACCTAGTACAAGTCATATATTACAAAAAATATACCAACATAAACTTGAGATGTTCTATTTTTAAACTGTATAATTTTTGTGTTATATAGTTTATATTAGGGTGATAAAATTGGCAACGTAGGCATACGCGTAGGACTTGTAAACTGAAACGGAGGGAGTAGCTTGATTGAGTCACCTAGATGTGCAATAATTTGGGCACATCTACATGTGCCCTAGACAGACCAACCATCACCTTTTCAAGGATGCCCCTTTAACCATCACTTCATAATATATGACATGCACTTCAAAAAAGTATACGAACGAATTCGTATTTGAAAGGAGTTTCTGATGATATTATTTCCAAAACACATACATTACTGATCTTATCGATGGTCAGCATAGATCTCGAAATACGCATTAGACACTACGTTTATGGACACAGAGGGGGCAATCTTTTGATAAACACCTGCTAACAAATACCAAACCCAAAGCATGGACGAGTAATCCAAAATTCGAAAGATTGGATGCAAAGCATGGAAGGGGTGATCTCTTTGCTCCAACCGCTCCCCTGCCAAAGGAAGAAACGCCTAGGCCATCATTATCGCGAAGCAAAGGCTCCGTAACCAAAACCACCACCCCATTTTAATCCCCTGCATTGACGTCAAGAAAATCCTCCATCCCCTGGGATTCTTCCCCTAATTTTAACCCCCCGAACGCCCGCAATCCAGCCAATCCAAATCTATCTTTTAACCCCGCGAGTAATTTTAGGCTGCCCACGTTTTCCGTTTGTTTCCCCGTCCGCGTCCCGTTCCGTTCCATGTGAGAGGTTTTAAGGGGAGCGTGCGAACTGCGAAGTGGGTGCGCGGAATTGGACTCGGCTCACGCCCACGCTCGCGCTCGGGCTCACGCTCAGGCTCCTATTAAAACCACGAGTGGAAGTTTTCTTCCCCGTCACCGCCCGTCGTCCGTTTCTTCTCCTCGCCCCCTCCTCCTTAACATAACAATGGCTGTGCAGGCCCAGTACCCCTCCAATCTCCTCTTCCACGATAGGTGCGCCTCCTCACGTCCCGCCCCCTCTCGCGTCTTCCCCCACTGCAGCTGTTCGTCTGGTTTGGCTTTCGGGTGATCTCATGGCTTCGTCTCCTTTACAGAGGTGACCCGGAGAGGGCGGACATGGACCTGCCCAAGCAGCAGCATCAGCAGCAACACCAGCAGCATCCGCAGCAGCTCGCCGGACTCTCGCCGGCGGTCTATTTTGCCAGTGGCGGAGGTGCGTTTGCCTGCCTCGACAGCCCGATGCCGCCGATTGATTGGCCGCGCGCCCGTTCACGGATTGTGACATGGCTTGGTTCGGTTTCTTGCAGCCAGTGGGAATCGGAGGAAGCGCGCCAGGGAGGCCATGGCGCCGCCGCCGCCGGCCAAGGAGGAGTACATCGGCCTGTTCGCGCAGCACTCGGCGCCCTTTTTTAACATGGCGCAGCTCCACAGCAGCAGGGTCGCGGCGTCCCCGTCCCCTGCCCCTGCCTCTGTGACGCGCGTGTCCACGGGCCTCCGCCTGGCATTGGATGAGCAGCAGCAGAGACAGATTAATTCCTTGTGTTACCCGTCCTCGTCGTCGCCACTCGTTCCCTTCTCCGATGAGTTCGCCGGACAGATGAAGCAGCACGGCGACGAGCTCGACAAATTCGTCCGGGACCAGGTAATTCATCTTGGCTCCGGCCATGCCACGACAGTCCGATTGTAGCTGCGCGCCCGTTTCTTGGCCTCACGTGCCCGTGCTTTATCGACCAGGGCGAGCAGCTCCGGCGGGCCATCGCCGATCGGATGCGCCACCACAACCGGGCACTTCTGGTGGCGGCGGACAAGTCGGCCTCGCGCCGGCTACGGGAGAAGGCGCTGGAGGCGGAGCGCGAGGCGCGGCGCGGCGCCGAACTGGAGGAGCGGCTCGCGCGGCTACGCAACGAGGCGGCGGCGTGGCAGGCCAAGGCGCTCTCGGAGCAGGCCACCGCGGTGGGCCTTCACGCGCAGCTCCAGCAGGCCGCCTCCGCGGCGCGGGCATCCTGCGAGGAGCTGGGCGGCGGCGACGCCGGCCCGGCCGAATCGTGCTCGTCGGCGTACGTAGACCCTCGCCGCGCCGGGCCTGACCGCGCGTGCCACGGCTGCCACCTCGGGGCGGCCACGGTGGTGCTCCTGCCGTGCAGACATCTGAGCCTGTGCCGTGACTGCTTCGCCGCCGGCGACATGGACGTGGCCATGGCGTGCCCTGTATGCCATTGCGTGAGGACCGGCAGCGTGGAGGCCATCCTGTGTTGACAGAGCCGGCCTCGGGGCCATCCCGTGCCGTGAGCGTTCCGAGCAATGCGAAAGGCGCCATAGCTTATTCCGGAGAATGGAAAAATAGTCCTAAAATGGAAACTTAGATTCTTTCTTTCTTTCTTCGAGCTTTTGTTCATAGTTTTTCTTAATCCTTTTTTACTGCCGAGGATTTACCCCTCGCCATGTCCTCTAGGAGAATTCAATTGATATAAGTTCATTGTTAATACTACCCGGCCCGTCAAGTGCAAAGGTTCGCCGATCATTATTGCTGGTAATGCTGTGCTGTACTGTAGGAGGGTTGCTTGTGATGCTCTCTTCAAACCGAAATGACGAATTAGCGGAGTGGTATCAGACTAGATAATCGTACCAAACTGCAAGTGATCGCAACCACTGCGGTACTCGTATGGCGTTGGCGTCCATTCGATGCGAGGCGTGGCCCGCATTGTTGCCGAAATCCCGCGCAAAGCGTGACATCTCTGCACCGCACCGGCACCGGCGGGGGTTAGGAGGAGTGCGCGTCCTGTGCCGTGCTTGATGATTCGGCCGTTTCGGCGTGGGCGGCACCAACGGGCGCGTCGTCGGCGTGGCCCCTCGGTTGGCTGTTATGTTTCTTTACATTACAGGCAGGCGGGCGAAGAGTGGAGAGGCACGCGCGAGAGTCGCAGGGCAGCGGCGTCAGAAAGAAAAAAGCAACGGAAATCGGGCACCGGCACGGCGGCGGTCGGCGGAATGAGCGGCCGCGCACTGCAGGCCGGCAACGGCACCAGGCGCAGGCAGGCACGCGCGGCCCGAGCGGTTGAAAATTGCCGCGCACGGCGCTGTCCCCGCGTAGTGATAGCCGCGGGTGGCGGGCCCTCGTGTTTTTTCTGTTGGAAAGTGGGGCTGGGCTGGCAGGCACGGCACGGGCGCCTCCTCCCTCCTCCCCGTCCGTTATGGCCGCCGCGCTAGTGGCCACGCAGCGTCCGGTCCGGCCGTTTGTTTACCGCCCCTTTTACTTTGGCCAAAAAGGAAAGCCATCGCCGCTGCTATCCCGGCGATCTTCACGTATCTCCACCGCTGTTGTTTTACGGTGAACCCCCGCCCGCTTTACGTCCCGCGATTGGAGGCCAACGAACAAAGCTGATGCGGTACAGGCCCGTGGAGGGCGCCGTGACATAAATTCGCGCCTGATCGGGTTTGTGATTGTAATGTAAAGTGAAGTAAATTAGGCCGTCCAAACCACTCGGCACCGGTACCCCCGGTACAGGAGTACCACTGCGGTCCGGTGATCGAGTACGTACGTACGACGTCCGCATGCACGGCCCATAAAGAGCCCCCCCGTATCGGCATTCAATTGGATCACCCCGTCGGGACAAGGCAGTGATGCTGCCGGTACGAGCGGTGCGCGACGCAGATCGCGGCGGCAATGACCAGCACAACACGGCTTGCCTGTGAGTCGCGTGATGACTCCTCACTGCTGCTGCTACGTGAGGAGGACAGTGACCACGCTCGCTCGCTCATGGACTCATGGTGCGCGCCCCAATTATTAACCCGGCCGGCCGCCCGGTCGCGACCGCAACGCCGTTGCGAGGAAAGGCGGACGAACGATCCGTCTTCTCGAACGCAGGATCGCTGGGAATCCGTGCCTGCTAGCACTGCCACCACGACTAGCCGGCTAGCACCACCACGACTAGCCGAGTAGTAGTAATCTGATTCGATTCGATCCTTCACGGGCCTTGTTACCGCGAGGCGGTCGCTGTTACGGCGTCAAATCTGACGCGATTTTCACGGGCTTAATAACTCGATCTGCCGTCCATGTCTGTGATGATATATCTCATCTTGTGATGACATGATGCGTTTTTCTAGTCTATAATTGCGTGCTGGTGCACTGTACTGTTCCGCATTTCCGTGCCCTGGCATCGTACCCGCTGATTCAGGAGGAGAAAGGGATGCTTCTTCTGCGGAAATAATTTGGATACCCAGGTGGATTGGAAACCTCAATTCTAAAGAAAAAGGATGAACTGGCCCATGGTATTTGTAATCAATGCGTGTGTCAACCCGATGCATATCTTCCTGTGGCCAATCAAAGTAATACTATTTTCTACGCACAAGAGTCCGTTGACCCTCCAACTCGTGTCATTCCAGACTATGCAGAGCCGGTGAACAATGTACCGGAGAAAGAATAAAAATAGCAGGGTGATCCATCATCATTAGTGCGATCCATCATCTATGGTGCATTTTAGCTTTGTATTGTTCTTTATAATGGCAGGAGTACTAATTTTGTTGGAAAGAAAAAGGCAATGGCAGATCAACTGCACTTTCGTTTGGGTTGAGAATCAATCACTGTACAAAGGTTAAAAATGCCGTATATCCATTTCGTATCGGTTTGGCTTCAACATATCGGGTGATATATCAGACGATATATATATCCAAGAAAATATACCTGGTTTTTTTTTTCATTATTCTTGTTGAAAAATGTCTTTTTAGTTAAAACAAAATGTATGATGCCAATGCTATAGCATAAAAAAAAGACTCCTAGTTTATGAAGTTGATAAACAAAGTAGTTAAGACACTTTCACAAAGTCCTTACTTTAAGATTGAAAACAATATGTTATTGTTGGAAATATGCCCTAGAGGCAATAATAAATTAGTTATTATTATTATATTTCATTGTTCATGATAATCGTTTATTATCCATGCTAGAATTGTATTGATAGGAAACTCAGATACATGTGTGGATACATAGACAACACCATGTCCCTAGTAAGTCTCTAGTTGACTAGCTCGTTGGTCAATAGATGGTTACGGTTTCCTGACCATGGATATTGGATGTCGTTGATAACGGGATCACATTATTAGGAGAATGATGTGATGGACAAGACCCAGTCCTAAGCCTAGCACAAAGATCGTGTAGTTCGTATGCTAAAGCTTTTCTAATGTCAAGTATCATTTCCTTAGACCATGAGATTGTGCAACTCCCGGATACCGTATGAGTGCTTTGGGTGTGCCAAACGTCACAACGTAACTGGGTGGCTATAAAGGTACACTACAGGTATCTCCGAAAGTGTCTTTTGGGTTGGCACGAATCGAGACTGGGATTTGTCACCCCGTGTAAACGGAGAGGTATCTCTGGGCCCACTCGGTAGGACATCATCATAATGTGTACAATGTGACCAAGGAGTTGATCACGGGATGATGTGTTACGGAACGAGTAAAGAGACTTGCCGGTAACGAGATTGAACAAGGTATCGGGATACCGACGATCGAATCTCGGGCAAATACAATACCGCTCGACAAAGGGAATTGTATACGGGATTGATTAAGTCCTTGACATCGTGGTTCATCCGATGAGATCATCGTGGAGCATGTGGGAGCCAACATGGGTGTCTAGATCTCGATGTTGGTTATTGACCGGAGAGTTGTCTCGGCCATGTCTGCATGACTCACGAACCCGTAGGGTTTACACACTTAAGGTTCGGTGATGCTAGGGTTATAGGGAAAGTATGTATGCGGTTACCGAATGTTGTTCGGAGTCCCGGATGAGATCCCAGACGTCACGAGGAGTTCCGGAATGGTCCGAAGGTAAAGATTGATATATAGGAAGTATGGTTTTGGCCACCGGAAGTGTTCCGGGCATCACCGGTAGTGTACCGGGACCACCGGAGGGGTCCGGGGGTCCACCAGGTGGGGCCACCAGCCCCGGAGGCTTACATGGGCCAATAGTGGGAAGGGACCAGCCCCTAGGTGGGCTGGGGCGCCTCCCACCAAGGCCCAAGGCGTCCTCAAGAGGAGAGGGGGCAAACCCTAGGCGCAGATAGGCCCTAAGGCCCACCCTAGGTGCGCCCCCCTCTCTCTCCCCCTTGGCCGCCTCCCAGATGGGATCTGGGGGCTGCCGCCACCCCTAGGGAGGGAACCCTAGGTGGGGGCGCAGCCCCTCCCCTCCCCCTATATATACTTGAGCAAAGGGGCAGCCCAACACACGAGAACATCTCCTTCTTGGCGCAGCCCTACCCCTCTCCCTCCTCGTCTCTTGCGGTGCTTGGCGAAGCCCTGCTGGAGTGCCACGCTCCTCCACCACCACCACGCCATCGTGCTGCTGCTGGATGGAGTCTTCCCCAACCTCTCCTTCTCCCCTTGCTGGATCAAGGCGTAGGAGACGTCACCGGGCTGTACGTGTGTTGAACACGGAGGTGCCGTCCGTTCGACCCTAGGATCATCGGTGATTTGGATCACGACGAGTACGACTCCATCAACCCCATTCACTTGAACGCTTCCGCTTAGCGATCTACAAGGGTATGTAGATGCACTCTCCTTCCCCTCGTTGCTAGATTACTCCATAGATTGATCTTGGTGATGCGTAGAAAATTTTGAATTTATGCTACGTTCCCCATCAGTGGCATCATGAGCTAGGTTTATGCGTAGTTTCTATGCACGAGTAGAAAACAAAGCAGTTGTGGGCGTCGATTTTGTCAATTTACTTGCCGCTACTAGTCTTATCTTGATTTGGCGGCATCGTGGGATGAAGCGGCCTGGACCGACCTTACACGTACTCTTACGTGAGACTGGTTCCACCGACTGACATGCACTAGTTGCATAAAGTGGCTAGCGGGTGTCTGTCTCTCCCACTTTAGTCGGATCGGATTCGATGAAAAGGGTCCTTATGAAGGGTAAATAGAAATTGGCATATCATGTTGTGGTTTTCGCGTAGGTAAGAAACGTTCTTGCTAGAAACCTATAGCAGCCACGTAAAAACTTGCAACAACAATTAGAGGACGTCTAACTTGTTTTTGCAGCATATGCCTTGTGATGTGATATGGCCAAAATGATGTGATGAACGATATATGTGATGTATGAGATTGATCATGTTCTTGTAATAGGAATCACGACTTGCATGTCGATGAGTATGACAACCGGCAGGAGCCATAGGAGTTGTCTTAATTTATTTATGACCTGCGTGTCAACATAAACGTCATGTAATTACTTTACTTCATTGCTAAAGGGTTAGCCATAGTAGTAGA